GAAAATTCTACTGCCAGTCCTTCATCACCTTAAACGAAATAGGGTGAATATATCTCACATTACTGATTTAGTGGTAATCTCGAAACTCTACTTGTATACGAAAAAAAAAATTATAGCAGACTAAAAAGCGTTTAAAATAAATAAGATAATTATTATTGGAACATGGAACTTTAATCGCACAAAGTTTTAATAAATCTGGGTAATAATCCAAATATCACTGAGAACTCCAGGATTTGTCAAGAGAAAATTTATAGCTACATATATTTGTACGACCTGCCTGGCTGCATTTCTGGAAGCCCAGCTAGCCGGTTAAGCTCCAACCAAGCCAACTTTCTGGAGTCATCTTTGGAAGATACCTCATTGTCGTTCATTTTGATCAAGCAAGACATGCAATCAGGTGAAATTAACTCAAGGGAAACAACAACCTCTAAACAGAGAGGCTGTAGAGGACAGGATAGGTTAGAACAAGTGGCCGTAATTGCGTCGGTTTTCGGAGCACCGATGTCAAGGTGGTAGGAATCGTCAGAATGATGGGAACAAGAGGGAGCTGAATGAGAGATTATACTTGACCTGCTTGTTGGATGGGCGCGATGCTGAGTGACCAAACGAGTCCAAGAGGGAGGCAGAATCAAGCGGCGACAGGAATAGCTAAGTCAAGAGGTAGAGGTGAGGAAACGATTCTATAAAGAACAAGTCCTTAAAATCGCTACAAGTATATTTAAATGAATGGCTGATATCAAGCTATTTTTATATTAATAAGGTTACCGCATATTTTTTAGACACCTGACTACATGCAACTAAACCTTCCTTATATTCTGTTAATATTAAATTGGAGTTCTAGTTACCATGGATAATCAGGATCTACTGATAACCTTAATGTGAATGTTTAGACAATATTGACAAAAAATTAGGATTAAGTGGAGATTAATCTATTAAATGATATTCGATTGTTGCAGATGTCCAAGTATTTCTAGACTAATGGTTAATCGAAAAAGCAAACACCGACAGGTATTCCAAAATGCCAGCTTCACGCTGGTTTAGACGATGCTAACTATTTGCATGTGTGTTTGTGGGAAACTTAGTAAAGCCGAAGCGAGGTATTGTGGTCATAAATGCGAGAGTAAATGAGGGATAAGATAATGGTCAGGGTTTATATATGTATGTAACTATAATAAAATAAATATGCAAAAGAATTAAATTTGGCTTCCTAAAGGTCAAGGAAAAGAAACTAGACAGATATGCATAAGGATAACATTATAATGAAGAAAAAAATGTCAGGATAAACCAACTTAGATGAGAACGGCTTAAATTCAGCGTCAAACCAGCCTTCAGTATGAGTGAAGACAAAGCTATGCTCGCCAGCTTGTACATCAGAATAAGAAGAGTCATGTAAAGGCTCCTTGGTAGAAGTCCCCAGGAAATTGCCAGATAAGTGAGTTATTAGCGTTGATTCAGATGGGGTCTTAGGGGGCAAAACAGATAGTTCATTATCCAGCATCGGCAAAACACTGATGTGTAAACGCCAAAAATCACTCGGCAAACGAGCTAGAGGCTGAGGCAAAAGTGACTTGGAGTCAGCTTCAATAGTGGAGTGACAATCATCAAGACCATCAGCGTAAGAATCATTGTGAAGGGGGAAAGTCGTCTGTGGCACTGAGCAGTTTATCTGCATCGCTAGCCTGCTGCTAGGCTCAGATGTTATAAGACCAGATACCGGTGCATCAGATGGAGGGCCGAGAAAGTGGTTAGCAAGGGCGGAAAGACTGATGGTGGATGGCGAGCTGAGTGAGCAGGATTCGGAAATCTAAGTACCGAGAGAAAGTGATGGGGAAGTTACGAATTTTTTAATATTATGATTGCATCATTCTGATTTATTTTAATTGTAATTTAATTGTAGTAATTTAATGCAACAATTCAGAAAAGGTAGATATGAAGACCAAGGCGTTAAGGCCTTTATTTTGATCACCGTCTCTTTTCGATTTATAGAAGTGATCTGACCTCGTCTTCGCAACTTGGTCATCTTGTTAGACTGACTTAGCTAGACTCATCTTGTCCGAAGTCCTCTGCTATAGTAGTTATAATTCCCAGAGTAGAACCGTAGACTTGACACATTCCCAAACGTTTCGCCGACATCATCAATGAGTTGCCATTCTCAGCACCAAGCCACAACTCGCCAAAGAGTTTTAGCTAGGTGCCGACTGTGATGCTGGCGAAACATCTGGGAATGCACCAAGTCCACGATCCGACTGGTGATTCTGACAACTATTATGGCAGAGGACTTCGGACTGGATACATTCAGATAAGTCGCCTTGACATGAGCAATTTATGAAAACGAGGTCTGATTACTTCGATTAAAAAAAGTATTTCGTTCCGGATGTTAAAAAATATGATTACATGACTGAGAATACAAAATAAATGAAAATACCAGAATGTAAACATTGAATCTGGACAGGTGGCAAGCATAAATCAACGTTAACGAAGAAGAATAGAAAAAAGATAAGTACCAAGCATTTAATATTAATGAATCAGATGAAGAAAATTATGGAGCTGAAAAATCAGTGGGTATGCAGAGCAGCCTAGAATCAGGATCAAAAGATAACTAATTAATCGTGTTTGAGAGACAAAACTTGCCTCCATATACGCACAGCTGACAAGATATGCTTAATCTATAATAAATTGATAAATTTGATTTTTACCACAAAATTTAGTAGAAATAGAATTAATAAAAGGGTTGGAGTAAATAAAGGTTCCCCATCTGAATGATTCGTCAAGAAGCTATTCACATACTTGAGCACTCGTAAAAGAGATAACCAAGCGCCCAAAGGAGTTAAATAGCCTCTGACAATTTATTTTTAAGGTTTAAATAGATGTTAGTTTAAAACTCAGCCAATGAAGTAGCAAGAGGAAAGAGAATAAGTGACAATATAAAATGATATGAAAAACAAACCGGAACCAAAATTTCAATCACTAGCCACAGTTTATCCTCGTATGACAACTCTTTAATACGGCGCTCCATAGGTGTTGCAAAGTGAGAAAACATAGAGACTTTGAGAGGAAATTCGTCCTTGGTGCTTTCCGAATGAATAAAAGATATTGCGGAGCTGTACGCGTCAAAAAACACATCAGCCGCTTTCAGCTGTTTGTAAACACGAGTAAAATGTGGCGAATCCTGATCAGCATGCTTCCCATCATCATCGTAAGAAATTTCACCAGCCGGTGAAACTTGGCGCATACCAATGAGGTAATCAACTAAAGGGAGTTTATTTTGTTTGGACATCTCGATTATTCCCAGAGTTCCATCTAAAATAAAATGTTGATATTGAAAAAAATAAAAAAAGGACCATGCGTACTTTCGAGGTGGATAATATTTTTTATTGAAGTCGCCTTCCACTGGCGACTCGAGAAATATGACATCTCATCATTTTCTAACTCCTTACACTTTCCATAAGCATCAAAATGAAAAGGAAAAGGACGAGAGGGGAAATCAGACGGTAAGAAAAGAAGGGAGATCTTTTTCGATCCTTTCGAATCAAGGCAAAGTAATGCCACGATATATATCGAAAGTATATACGAATTGGAAGTAAGCAAGTGCATCCAAGATCCTTGCAGATATGCGGAAACTATTAAGCCGGCAACAAAGGGAGGGGCAGGTAATCGGGTGGTGCAAGCATAAAGAGAATATCTGAAAGTGCAAACGGTCATCAGAATAGTCACAATAACAAATTTATTAAGATATAAGAGCGTACTTATTTTTATCTTCTTGATCTACGCTATGGTATAAAATTGCTGTGAGGCAAGAATTTCGTCCAATTGCTATTAGTACTTCATTTAAAACCTCATGACCAAAAAGCGATTTCTTATGAATTTCTGTATTTTCTATATGAATATCCCTGAGAACAACCCAAGCAGTTATGCTTTCTGGCGTTGGCAAATTCAATAAGGAAAAGAAAATAACGACGGAAGTGCCTTGAGAAGATTCTTGGACCCTAGGTGGGAGAATGCATGAGCTGCGAATAAGCAACGATGACTCAATATTGAAAACGACATAAACTATCCCACTGATCAAAGAGAACAGCCAAAAACCGTATTC